GGTGATTGTGGTGGAGCGAGAAGAGGGAGGCAGCTGGAGATGGGGAGGGAAGGAAGGGAGGGGCAAGTGACTGTTTAATTCCTTTAATGTGGTGTTGCAGCAGTGGGAAGTGGTTTATTTGCAGTATTGTCTTACGACACTTTCACCAGGATTGTTGCCACACACAGTACATGTAGATGCATAGTGCAGTCGTTGGCGCATAACTTCAGTCATTACTATAATGCCTCATTCACTGATAGTAACACAGTTATTGAGCTAACTTTGCGATTCTCACCTTATTTTGCAAAAAGACTTTAATACAAGACACAGAAGAGGTTTTATCATGCTATAAGCAAAATTTATTTAGCAACTGACATGTGACCAAATAGAAAGCATCAAAATTTCTTCAGCAGTAAATTTAAGATAAGCATATTTTCAAAGTTGGTTGGATTTTTTTCCCCCCAGCACTTGTTTTGTTATGTTCAGATAAAGAGCATTTTTCTTCACACACACATCTTCAGAGAAGTCTTGAATCTAGTCAAATTCACGTAGACGTAGGTCACGTTTGTAATTCTGGAAATCAGCCTTCAGAGCTTCTACCAACTCTTTGGCTTCTTCTTTGCCTAAAATCCTAGTGAAGGGAAAACGGGTTCCGCATCAAAACACACACACACACACACACACACACACAAAGATTATTTAAATAATTCCACAAGTTTCAAAGATTTTGTGATTTTAGCATTTAGTAAAATAACAGCAATTTTCTTACCCTTTTGCACAGCGGGAAAGAACTAAATTTAAAAAAAGAGAAGAGAAATTAGTGAACAGCCAACAATATTCTGTTAAGCTGGGCATGCACTTTGGCCCATTTTATGACAACTTTTCAGTCGTGCAACCGTTTTGGGGATCGGCCCGAGTTTCGCCTTAATTATGTGTCGTGCATCGTGTAGTATACATGGGGTAACGAGAAGCGATTAACACCTCACGACCAGCTCCCAATCAACAATCATATGGTTGCAAGAAAATCAAACCTGTTTGAAATCCTGGTCGCCCCTCATGAGGGTATAAATGCAACCTCTCACACTACGCAAGTGCAAACGCATGGAAATGAAAAAGACGGAGTAGCATGGCGGTGCAGCGTGTGATCTAGACACAAGCGATGGTAAGCTCATCCGAGCTTTGTCAATGTGGCCTCACAAAATTATCACGCCCACAACAACCTTGAAAAGAGTTGGATCGACATTTCTGCTCAGTTGCAGCTGCCTGGTCTATGTCTTTCATTAGCAAGTTAGCAAAGTTGATGGTGATGGTGTGTGTGTCTGTGTGAGTGAAAGACAGAGCGTGAGAGCGAGAAACGGATATTGTATAATAAGCGTCATGTAATGGATGCACAGTGTGAGCACTCAGGTCGCATCAGAGCATCGGGCTGTATAGTGTGAGACCCTGCATCGTGACCTACGAACTTGTAACCCCTGCGAGTCAATCGTACAGTTTGAGCAGGAGCTGAATAGCACGACTGAAAAAATTGCAGTGTATTCCCAGCTTTACAGACTTTGTAATAAAGGGTTGACAGCTTTCCTTTTATCTAGTTGTGCCAGATTCCCCCCCCCCAAAAAAAAATAAAGCACTAATCAAAAAAACTAATAGTACCTTTTTTAAAAAACTTCTTCCACTTAAAACACTCTCCTTGTTCAGCCATCATTACAACCATGGATAACACAAGAAAGATCACAGCAGGCTTCATCCTGCAAAGAAAAACATA